GGGCACGGTCAGGGCGGGCACGGCCGCCCACCCGCGGCGGGACCGGGCGGGACCCAGCGGCGCGTGGCGCGCAAGCGACCGGGCACCGCGGTGGGGCGGGGCCTTGGGGGCGGGGCTCGTGGCTCAGGGGCGGAGTTTGGTGGATGGGGCGCGGATGAAGGCCCAGGGGCGTGGCTTGGTGACAGGGAGGGCGGTGCTTAACTTTATGAGGGCGTGGCTTGTGGCCTGGAGGGCGGTGCTTGGTGTCATTGGGGCGGGGCTTGCTGCCTGGAGGGCGGGGGTTGCTGTCTTTGGGGCGGGGCTTGCTGCCTGGAGGGCGGGGCTTGGTGACGTCGGGGGCGGGCCCGCGGCCGTGACGCGCCACCCGCGGCCCCGCGCTCTGCCCTTGGTGTCCSCGGGGAAGATGGCGGCAGCGCTGAGCTTCGCTCGCTGCATCGTCCGTCCAGGTGCGCCCGCCCCGGCGGGTCCCCCCGGGCCGCCCCCGCCGTGGGGGGCCCCGCGCGCGCCCCCGTCCCCGCGCTGCGCCCGGGTGCCGCGTGTCCCGCTGCGCCCCGCACCGTGGCGCGGCGTTGTCCCGCGTGTCCCCCGCCGCGGGTCGGGGTGTCCCCATGGCCCCTCGCGTTCSCCCCCGCAAGGGGCAGGGTTGTCCCCTGCGTGTCCCTGCTGTGGGTCTGCGTGTCGCTATAGCCACTCATGTCCCTSTGCCGTGGGTCACCGTGTCCCCATGGGCCCTTACGCCCCCACGCTGTGGGGCAGCATCGTCCCCCGTGTTCCCAGGATCAGGATGTCCCCACGCCCCTCATGTCCCCATGCTGTGGGGCGGGTTGTCCCCTTTGTCCCCCTGCTGTGGGTCACATGGTCCCCATGGTCTCTTACGTGCCCCCTGCGTGGGGCAGGGCTGTCCCCCATGTCCCCTGCTGTGGCCCGGGGTGCCCCCATGTCCCCTCTCCCATAGGACACGCCCTCCCATGTCCCTTTCCCGGCATCGGGGCATCACCCCGTCCCCCATCATGGCAGGGGCTGCCCCCACATCCCCGTGCCATGGGCTGGGGTTCCTCCGTGTCCCTCCGCTGTGGGTCGGGTGGGTGACACCGGGTGCACCGARGGGGCTGCGCGTGCCCGGCCCCACCTGCCTCTGCCCCCCAGGGCTGCTGCCCCTCTGCAGCCGTGTGTGGGGCAGCGGCGCCCGCGAGCGCGCCGGCCTCCCGCCCGCCCAGCGCAGAGCCTTCAGCAACAACAAGATGCTGGTGGAGCTGGACGAGGGCTCAGGTACGGCCCGGCGCCCCTCTGCCCCCGCGGCCCCCATGGCTCCTCCGTGGACCTTGGACCAGCGATGTGGACGTCTCCGGACCTTCTCACGTGCCTGCCACGGCGCGGGTTGAAGTGTCCCTCGGTTGTCAGGACACACATGGTCCTGGGAATGGAGAGCCTCCAAAGCCCTGATGTTCCAGACGCAGCTGCTTGGGACCATCGGAGAGAGGTGTTTGTGGACACCCAAATAGTTGTGGGCGCTGGACATGGCTGGGTGCCACTTATGAGCTCCATGCAGACACCAGYTCACATGGCAGGATTGTCCCACCACCTGGTGGGTCCTGCAGCCCTGTCCCTTGCCCCAGCGTTGCCTCCCAGCAGGTCCCTACCCAGGGGACAGACAGGTCCCTGCCCTGGTGGAGCRACAGACACTCCTTCAGTGAGCAGTTGTTGGGCATTTCTGTGTCCCGGCTGCCCAGAGCAGCTATCGTGGGACCACCAATCAAAGGGCCMTCTTCCTAGGAGACTGATTTTGGCTGATGGGCCCCTGGGCCTGTCCTCACACTGTCCCCAGCTCGGGTGAACTGTCCCCAGCTGGCAGCRCCAGCTGGGCAGGGGGCCGTGCTGCCTGCAGCCCCCCCAAGCAGTGTCATTCCCCAGGCACGGCCACAGGGTGTTTGCAGTGAGACAGGACCTCCAGGCCTTGCCACCCCCAGGTGGGCTGGGTTTGGGGACACCCGGCCTGGCCACCACACTGTGTGGAGGACAGCCGGTCCACGGTGAGTGAGCCGTGGTAAGAGCTGGTTAAAGGTAGCACCTTGCTTTTGGTCCAGCACTGGGGGCTCTTTGGAAAACACCTTGGTCACCATGACTAAAAATACGTGATTGGGGAAAGAGGGAAACAGCTGAAATTCTGAAATTCTTGATCTGAAATTGAGAGTGGTTTGTGTGTGGTGCATGTTGAGGTGGACAGGGGTTTCTGATGACTTCACGTTTGCTGTGACACAGGCGTCGCCACAGTGAAGTTTAAGAGCCCTCCTGTCAACAGCCTCAGCCTGGATTTCCTGACTGAGTTATCCATAGGCTTGGAGAAGCTGGAGAACAACCGGGGCTGCCGGGCCGTGATCTTCACATCCGTATGTGTTGTCCTGGGGTTGCAGTGCAGGGTGGCTTGGCTCGCGGGGGCTGCCCTTGCTCGTGTTTGGTCTCCTGGGTCTTTGGTTGGAGGCATGGGAAGGCCAGGACACAGCTCTAATGAGCTCCAGAAACAGGGCCAGGGGAGCCTTGCAAAGGCTGTTCTCTTTCCTCCAGCTTTTTCTAGCACAAAAACTATAACAAAGCACTGTTGTTGCTTGTTCAAATCAAATCTGTCCCTCGACAAACATGGCAAACCTCCTGAGATCTTTTGAACTGCCCAGAGGGGGAGGCAAGGGGAAGCCAGCACTCATTTCCAGGCACGATGTGTGTACAAGGCTGTAACAAAGGTGTCCACCTAGGGCATCTGATGAGGAGGAATTGTGTTCCAATACTGGGGAATCCTCTCCGTGGGAATGCTGAGGAGGTTCTTTCCTAACTCCAGAAGACCCTGATTTGTGTCAACTCTCCCTTTTTTGGGGTTTCCAGGATAAGTGCTTAGAGAATTGAAGGATTGTCCCTGAGCAGTGACTCCCAGTGATGTTTGTGTCTTCCTAATTCCAGGCCATCCCCAAAATCTTCTCTGCTGGCCTGGACATCACCGAGATGTGTGGGAAGAGCACGGAGCATTACGCCGAGTTCTGGAGAGCTGTGCAGAATATCTGGCTCCGGCTCTACGGCTCCAACATGGTGACAGTCGCTGCAATCAATGCAAGTCCTTTAGAGACGCCTTCCAAGCTGCCCCCAGCTTACRCTTGCTGTGGCTTGTGTGCTGTGTCTGGGCAGGGACTGCTGCAAAGCCAGGCTTGTCAGTGCTGACTGAAGTACTGCGTTGGGGTGTCAGGGCAGCACTCCTGCCTGTTGGGTTGGGGCAGTGACGTGAGGGAGGTTGCGGGCTCCACGTGAGCTCTGTGTCTTGCACAAATGTCATTAGCAGCACGTGCCACAAGTACTTGTCCTCAGCCTGTTGGTCAACGACATGTCACACCTGGGCAGTGCAATATTTCCTTTGGGTTTGTTCCTGCAGTTGTAGTTCTTGCCAGGAGGAAACTATTTGAATGGGGTCTGTGGATGTGTAACTGTTACACACTTGGGGTCTTATTTTATTGCCAATATAGCAGTGCTTGGGTGGCGCATGGTTGGAGTGACTGTCACAAGGCAGTTGGGTCTGTGACCAGCTAGTGCAAAGACACTCCAAAAGTGAAGTTTTGCAGATGGGAGGCGTTAGAGATCCCTAAACAAAAGTCTGTGGCGTTTTAGGCTACAAACTTGCAAGAGAATGCCTAAACAAATCTGCTTTGCAGGGTTTGCAGCCCAACTAGAGAGCAAAACCCCATGAGAGTCAGATTTTCAGGCTGGGAAAATGAAAAAAAAAAAAAAAAATTTATAAAAGGCTAAACTCTGGTAAATATATCAGAAATCATATTTAGTGGCTGGTTTTCTGTTTCTTACCATCTTGCAAATCAGCTGAGCAAGGACTTGGGGGGATATCAGCACTGTCCCTGGGAGCTCCATCAGCCCGTGTCTTCCCTGTTCTGGAGGATACAACAAGGCTGCTGGGATAGGATGCCAGGAATGTTTGTAGCTGGAAAATGGGACTGACCTGGGCTCTTTGCCTTTGGCAGGGATCCAGCCCAGCAGGAAGCTGTCTCCTTGCCTTGTCGTGTGACTACAGAATCATGGCTGACAACCCCAAATTCGTCATTGGCCTGAACGAATCACAGCTGGGCATTGTGGCTCCCTTCTGGTAGGCCAGTGTCTCTCACTTCTAAGCTCATATGCCAAGTGCATCTTGAAGGATTTTATGAATAAGCTTTAATTAATCACAGAAATGTAGCTGTATTTGACCATCCCAAGGGAGTGACCAGCTAGTCGCAGTTACAGGACACAACCAGCCCAGCACCTCGTTTGTTTGTCTTGTCCTGTACATGTCTGAAACCCTTTTGGGTTGCAGAATGATCTCACATCTTGTTTTGCAGCCTTCACCAGCAATAGTCTCAGTTTCTGACTCTGCAGCATGTGCAGAAACTGGGAGACCTTCTTGGTTGAACTCAGTCCGAAAATACAGATTCTTGTGGGTACCTGCAAAATCCCACAGCTATCTAAAAAAACCTCTCAAAGCWCAGAAGCATTTAATATACTGAGATATAGATCCCTTGACCTTGGCTGCACTAGTGGGCACAGCTGGGACCTGTGCAGTCAGAGTATAGAATACCTTTCATTGAAAGGACACGGGGACTCCATCAGTACAACACTAAAAATGTCTCTTGCCAGAATTTTGCAGAATTCTTGCAGAACCGCCAGAATTTGCAAAAGTACCTTGCTGGCTTTGCCCTGTGCCTGTCTCCCTGTGCCTGGGAAGTGTGAGCAGAGACTGTGGGGTAAACAGTGCTTATAGCTTTGATGTCTGGGTGCAGCTGCTGCTGGCAGGTTCCTTCGCATGACCGTGGCTCTTTCTCCCTTCTCTTCTAGGTTTAAGGACACGTTTGTGAACGTTGTGGGACACCGAATTGCTGAACGTTCCCTTCAGCTGGGCAGCCTTCACTCTGCACCTGAAGCCCTGCAGCTTGGCATTGTGGACGAGCTGGTGCCCGAGGAGAAGCTCCAGGACAAGGCTGCCGCTGTTGTAGCGCAGTGGCTGGCTCTGCCCGGTAAGGCAGGCACCTCCTGCCTTACCTATAGAGGATGTTAAACAGAAACAGAATGCCCTGGCAGAGGTCAAAAGGGCTGGGGGATCTTAGAGCCAGAGCACTTTTGTATAATAGAGCATTTGGTTCAGTAAGTGCTGTTCTGAGCCTGGTGAGGTGTATTTGGATATGGGCTAGGTGCATCCTGGAAGACACAAAGAGCTAGAGAGCACAAAGATCTAATTTGTCCTGCTAGAGCAGTCATTTTCCCAGTGCTGGATACAGATTACAATTTATTTTATTAGAATTTTTCCAGTTCAGCTTCCAGTTAGTGAGTTTGCCGTGTGCCTTTCTCTGCCAGGATAAAGACCCCTCTGGTGCACAGTCTCTCCCCTTCCGTGGTACTTGCATCATGGTACTTGCCAGTGTCCGTCAGCTGGTCGCTACCAGTGAGCCCGGAGTGTTCCCCATCCTCACTCTTCTCTCCGCAGACCATGCCCGTCAGATCACCAAGTCTATGATGAGGAAGTCGGTGCTGGACCGCCTGTTGACTCACCAGGAAGAGGACGTTCAGAACTTTGTCGGCTTTATTTCTAAAGAGTCCATCCAGAAGTCGCTTCGCATGTATATGGAGATGCTGAAGAAGAGGAAGGGCTGAAGAGCCAGACATCCCAGGCCTGGTAGCAGGAGCTTGTGTGACCCACTGAAGTGCTGCAACAGCTGTAGCCTCTTACAGGGAAGCGCTCTGCACTGCCAACAACCAGCAAGGTGTTGCCTGCTCCTGTGGCTGCCCTCGTCACCCCTTCCCCTTCGTACCCTACCTGTGCCTGACACCACTGCTGCCTTTCCTGAGAGCAGGGGAACTGCTTGCTCAGCCCACCTGAGGAGCAGAGAGGGGAGAGCATCCGATACCGCTGTGTCCTGAGCCCACAGATCTTGGATAACCTCYCTCCTTTCCAACACCTCGTTGTGAAAAGGAGATTTGTCAATAAAGCCATTTTTTGATGATGCCAGAGAGAGATGCTTGGATTCCGGGTCCATGGCTGGTCACTGCTTCCTGGTGGCAGCGGGGCTCCCTGACGGTTGGCCTGTMCCCAGGCTCTGGTTCCTGCTGAGATTTCTCTGCACAGCTGGTATTTGGCTGTGACCCTTCTCCAGGCTGGCACAGGGACAGCCCACGTGCAGGGCTGGTGGACAGGGCTGCCGCGGGTCCCTTCATGGCCACCAGTTCTGGGAGCTGGAGCTGGATCGCGRTCTACAGCAGCTGGAGGAGCTCAGGCTGCCAGCTTCACTTCAACGGGGAAATGGTCACTGACTGCCAGGGCCTGTAGGGGATGAGAGGTGGGTAAGTTGCTGAGAGGGTGACAAGCCCTGAGCGCCCCATGGTACTGAAGGGACTCGCAGTGTGGTGGTGCCTTCCATGAAAGACCCTTCTGCCTCCTTGATATCTCCAGCCCCAGGCCCCAGTTTGGCCTCTTCCCATAGAGAGGTGTCCAGACCTGCTCTGCACTGCACATGGGTGCGGGCAGCCTGGACAGACCTGGGCTCTTTCAGGAGCTCTGTGCTAAATTGCTTTAGAGGCCATTGAAAACCTRCCTTGGCTGCCCTAAGCCATAGAGTCCCTGCCCTAATATAGGGAGTGCCCCAGGAGTGGCCTTGCCCCAAGTCTCGCGGCCCCCATGCAGAGTTTCCCTGAGGGACAGGCAATATCCCCAAATCACCCCTAGTTTTCCCACCCATGAGTCCTTCAGCATCCAGAGCTTCCAGTTAACAGGTTGGGAGCTGGCTACCCTGTCTCAGGAGAGGCCGGTGCCTCTACGTGGGGCTGTGCACATCTCTGGTGGCTTTTTGGAAGCGTGGCACTGCTCAGAGGCCACTGTGCCCTCAGGGGAGCACTTGGGCCAGCCCCGCTGCTGTTGCTCTGTGGCTGTGGCCCCAGCCTGTCCCCAATCCTTAAGGAAAGCTGCTCTGCACATCCTGGCCACCCCTCGGGATGCCCAGGGCCAGCTTGGCTGTGCTCCCTGCCTATCGGCGCATCCCACCTCCTCCTGCTCCAGCTGCAAAGCGCGCTGGAAGTTGTAAACAGTGGCCGAGTTGGGCACGACGCTCCTCTTCAGCTTGGCGCCGCACACCACAATCCTGCAAGGAAGCCAGGCTCAGGGGGTGCCGCCCGTCCCCGCTCCGCGGCTCCCTGCGCCAGCCCAGGGCGGGCACCGCCGGGGTGRCCGCCTCGGGCTCTGCCTGCGTGTCTGGGTGGGTGGCAAGGGGGACGTCACCTGTCGTAGGCACAGTCCGACTTGCCCACGGTGGTGTCGGCACCGTCGGGGAGCAGCCACTTGAAGACGTCGCTGGTGCGCAGGCGGATGGAGGACCAGTCCTCGGGCCTCACGTAGGAGCAGTCGGCGTTGAAGTCCCCCAGGAACATGATGTTCTGCAGAAAGGGCAAAGCGGAGGGTGGGACCAGAGCAGCACTGGCTGCACCCCAAGATCAGCCATCCTCTCGGGACCCCCAGTCTCTGAGTCCATGCTCTGCCCCAGAGAGRGATGCAGCATTGAAATGCAGCAGGTCACTGCAGAGGTGCCACCACCTTGGGCCACATCAACCTGGTCTTGCACAGGCGATGTTCATGGCTGCAGCTCTGTCTGGGTGCAAAGGGATCTTGGAGCGGGGTCTGTCCCTCAACGTCACCCCCAACCCACTGTGCCCGGACATGCCCATGCCCCTGCCCTGCTCACATCCGTGTCCCATTTGTTGACGATGGCCAGGTAGACATCGTAGAGCGCGTCGATCTCGGCCACGGCAGCGTGCGGCGCCGAGTGCAGCGGCACCAGCACAAACTCTCCTGCCTCTGCCGGGGAGAAAACCGTGAGCTGGCAGTGCCACCGTCCCCTGTTACCTCCCACACCATCGCTCCAGGGCCACCAGAGCTCTTCTGGACAGAGCAGGTGCCCCCAACGAGGGTCCCCATGGTCTTCCCCACACTTACTGGTGTGAGGCGATGACACCCTCAGGATGAACGGCTCCCGGCTGAAGACGTCCTGGTGGTCCTTGTACTGGTAGGTGGCCAGCACAGACACTGTCTCCGTCCTGGGGGCCAARGGGACAGTGACACCGGGGCTTTGCATGGCCCATGAGCACTGCCCTCAGGGCACTTGGATCTGCTGTGGTCCTGCTGGGGGCTTTGACACTCCGAGCCCCAGCAGGTGACACAGGGCCGTATTGGCACCCACATCTGAACCCCATCCCGCTGGCACCCCACGTGCCCAGCGCTGGCCCCGTCACCTGTAGATGAAGAGGTACATCTCCTTGTAGTTCTCTCGCCCCAGGGGGCCGCTGATCTCGTAGGCATATTGGGACGAGGATGCGCTGCAGGGATGAGACGTGACAGCAGGACCTTGATCTGTCTGCCCAGCACTGCCCACTCCTGCGATGGCCATTCTGTGTCCCCAGCCACCACGGCTGGGACAGCCACCACTGTCCAGCCATGCCCCCTCAGCCACCACAGTGTGGGGTGGCATCAGCCCTTGTGCCCTGCTCCCAGGCTCCCTGCCCGCTGGGGAGCCAGCCCAAGCTATCCTGCTGTCCCCACCATGCCACGCAATGATGGCATCTCAGAAGCACTCGATGCCCTTCAATGACAGAGCAGCCACCTCCGCCCCAGCCCCAGGCTGTCCCCAAGAACTGGGTCACCTTCAGCAGTGCAGCAATCYGATCACTGCAGTCACCCTTTTACCCTCGTGCCCCGCGGGCACCCGCGCCCCGGGCTGAGCCGTGTCCGTGCGATCCGTCGGCTGCTTTGGGGCTGGTCAGGGCARGGTTGATGGGTTTTCAAGCTGCCACGCAGGGGCAGCTCCAAAGCCCCTATGTCCCCTGCCAGTGAAGGGCTCATCTGGCCCCATCACATCCATCACCTTCCTCTTTCCATCCTGCAGAGCCAGTTTGCTTCCCGCTGGGAACCATGCCCGCTTCCCTGCCCTTTCCTTTGCCTTTTCCCTTTTGGCTGGTTCCCCAGCTCCTCTCGGAGATGACAGGCAGTGGCTGGGGCTGCTCCCAGCTGGGAGGGTGCCTGTCTCCCGGGTTTTCCAGCTCCCATCCATTTCCCACTCGGCCATTGCCTCCCGGCAGCCTCACAAGGGAGGCTCAGCTCAGGCCTCCTCATGGGCACCCGAAACCGGAGCCATGTCTCAGCCCTGCCATTCCCAGGGACCAGACTGGCCTTGGCGCATCCCTCAGGCATGAGGGTCTTAGGGCGTTTTTCAGACTTGGCTAGTTAGAGTTTGGGTTCTTTCTGGTTTTACATATTTAGACATGACCTCAGCTGTGGGAGGGGGCTGYGCTGCTCACATCCCTTTCCTTGCTGCTACTCATGGTGGATTTTTGACAGTCAGCACCTGCCTCTGCTCTAACACTTAAGCTTCCAGCTACCTGCAGGCATTAAGGATGCTCCTTTCCATTTCTTTTACCTGATTTCAGTGCTTTGCTCTTATTCTCCTTTTTTTTTTGAAAGGGAAAACTATTCTCCTGCACTTTTTGGCTGTTAATGCAGAAGCAGCTTTGCGTTTCCTCCCTGCTTGTGCAGTGCAAACCCAGGTGGCATGTGGCTCATCGCGGGAGCTGAGCTGCTTGCTGACATGTTCTCGCTGCTCCTCCTGCACTCAGCTCACACTGTTCCTACAGGGTTGGCACCCTGGCCAGGGCAAGATCTTCACCCCCAGCCACCATCAAGGGACCCCAATGGACACCAGAGGACAGGGCCAGCACCCTCCGGAGCCCCGTCGCACAGCTCGTACCTGTTTAGCTGCTCCATGAGCTCAGTGACGGCACTGAGGTCCGAGTCCCGCACCTCCTGCACCAGGACAATGTCGTAGCGACCGAGGATCTGGGGACAGGAGTTGCTGCATGGTGAGGAGCAGCCTGGGGCTGGCTTGGAGCCATCACAGGGTCACCCTATTCAGTCCAGGAACCCCAACACCAGCATGAGGGTCCAGCACCCAGGGACCTCCCTATGCACCTCTGAGCGCTTCCCTCCACCCCAACACGTGCAGCCCATCCCCACCAGTGACCACCCGTGTGCCCGTCACGGGTCGTGCTCACATTGACGATGACGTCTGCAATGGTCTGGTCGGACATCTTGCTGTCCCCGAACGCCTGGATGTTGAAGGCGCCGATGCGGAGCGTGGCAGCCGCGTGCGGCAGCAGGGACACGGCCAGCAGGGACAGCGCGGGCAGCAGGGCACCCATTCCACCCGGGAGGGATGCCCTGCCCTGGGCACGCAGGGAGAGGAGCCGCATTCCCACTTGGAAGGTTGTTCAGGTCTTGGGAAAACACTTCCAATGTGAGGCTAGAGCAAAATATCTGCTTAGGGAGCCAGTACCCCCAGTGCTGTTCCCAGGTCCTGTCCCCAAAGGTGCTCCCCACCAGTGGGGCACCAGGGCTGGGTGCCCCATGTTTGCATGGCCCCATCATCAAAGGGGAAAGGAAGAGGAGGGTCCAGGGCCATGAAACGAAGCAGCTACCAAGCTATGGAAGGCTCCAGGAGYGCTGGCTCCCTGCCGCCATTCTGAGCCTGAGGCAATGTTTGATCCATCGCACTCCCGGAGCTGGAGAGCCTGCCCGTGTCATACAGTGAAGCCTGCACATGTGGCCCGGGCTCTTTGCGACGTCCTGTGTCCCGGAGGGAAGCAAGCCAGGGCCGGCTCAGCCCCCGACGCTGCGCTGGAGGATCAGCCTTCCACTGACTCCTCCTCCTCMTGGGCAGGCACCTGCTCCTGGCCACGTCACATCCCGCTGGCAGCAAGACCAGAGGTCTCCAGGACCTCAGCTGTGSTCCCCTCCCAGCCCTTGTCCTAAAGAGCCGAGTCTGTCCAATGCAAACCCCAGCATTCAGCACCCTCAGCCCTATGCAATTTTATACCCTTAAACCGTCCACTCCTGATCCCCCTCTGCACTTGCTGCTCCCCAAAGCCAGGTGCCCAAAGGCAGGCTGSCCACGCCAGCTTTGCATCTCCCTACAGCAACGTTAAGAACGTTATAGAGGCACCAGCTAAGCCTAATTCCTCCAGTGTCTGTACCAGTCCATGAGCACTGAGACACTTCCCCAGCAGGGACCGTGTGTGCCATGGAAATAACCCTGTCCCAGCCACATGCTGGGACATGTTGGTCCCAACACAACTGAAAACACCCTGGAAGGAATCCAACCCCCAAACCAAAAATTCCAGCATGCAGCCCCATYCTTACTGTGCGGAGGCGCAGAACGAGCAGCCTGGCGCTGAGCACGGAGCAGCTCTGCCCTCCCAGCGGCTGCTCCGGCTGTTTTATTCCCAGCTAAGATGTCAGCAAAGCAGGATGAGCTGGACATCCCTGTGGATGTTTCRGCACAGCCTTCGGGTGCCTTCCAACATTGGGAAACCACCACCCACACCTTGGCAGGGTGGGGCCAGCGTAACCACCTATGAACATGAGCTGTAAGGAAACTTGCTCATGTGCATCCCTGGGGACATCCKGGAGAAGCCGGGAGGCCATGGGCAAACTGGCAGCGAGAACAAAGCAGTGATCATAAGACAGCTGAGGAGAACTGGCCTCCAGTATGGGGACATYGAGGACATAAGGAGCACGCTGGTGTCACGTGCCGCTCCCTGGTGTGAGGACAGGCCAGCCGGCAAGGAGGTCCTGGTGGGCTGCGCATCCCGGCCAAGCAGGAGGCTGCCGCTCTGCCGGAGGGGCAGGAGAGCTGCTGCACGTGGAGACTCTCTCCCAACTGGCATGGAGGGAAAAGGCAGCAGGATCTAAAAGCTTGGGGCCCAGCACCCCCCAGCGTAGAAAGAGGGATTTTGGATGCTGCAGCTCCCAACAGGGCGCAGAGCCAACCTGTAATGCCCAGCAGCTGCCCAGCCCCATAAAGGCCCCCAATGAGCTGAGCAGAGTCCCCAGCCTGCTCARCCCGGGCCTTCAAACTTTGGTCCCTGTGGAAACGTGACATGTTTGTCCTGAGAGCCACAAGGCTGATCCCAGTGCCACAGCGCYGGCCAGATGGGTGGAAGGAGCCTGGCCACGGCTGGCTGCGACCAAGCACTGCACTGAGGCATGTGAGGCAAGGTTCGCAGCAAAAGCCTTAATGAAGCCTTAATGAAGGTGATTCAGCTCTTTGGAGTTGCTCAGTAGATGAGATTATTAGGAGGGAAATAAGGACAGAAGGAAACTGCATGTTGTCTGGGTCAAGAAGGGTGAGGAGCCCTTGGTGGCCCGAGGAGCCTCCATGCAACGAGCCAGCTCAGACCCACAAAGTAACTCTGGCAGTGGCTTCAAACAGCCTGGATGGGTTTCCAGAACAGCCTCACGGGCTTCCAAAACTGCCCTGGTGCTGCTCAGGCCCTCTGTGAGCAGGGCAGCAGGATGGTCTTGCACAGCACCTACCTTGCACAGCACCCACCGTACCAGATGGCCGCAGTAGCAACCAGGGCCAGGGGTCCATGGCAGGTGAGCACAGGAGGTGCTCAGCTGGCTGTGGCCAGGATGATGCCTCCCTTTGCCAGGGCTTGTCAGGCTCACACAGCAGTATCCGGGCACAGCATCCTCATGGCCYGTCACAGGATGACTCCAGGTGTCCTCACACATATTTGCGCAGAATTGCCAAACTCTTGTTTTCCACAGCCCTTGCCGGGCACCTCGCAGCCCAGATCTGCTTGGGAAAAGCAGAACTTTTCCTCTGGGGAAAGCCTTGCCCAGAGGTGCCCAGGGCAGCCCCTAGCCCAGGGAACGGCAGCACCTCGAGGCCAGAGCGGGGATTCAGGGACCCGCGTGGATTCAGCGGAGCTCGTACACGGCCCCAGGGTCTCTGCACTTCCCATCTCCTCATTGCAACACCCTTAGTCACCTGCCAGAGACGCCCTGCAACGAGCCTCAAACCACAGGGTGCGGCGGCCGCGGTGCCGGGCGGCACCCAGCCCTGCCGGGAGGCACCCGGCGCTCCCGAGGGGCTGGAGGCGCCGCGCTGAGCTGGGCGCTGACTCACGGCCCCCGTCCCGCCGCTGCAGGCGGCATCCCCCGCTCCCAGGTCCCGCACGGCGGCTCGGGGAGATGGGGAAGGAGCCGTGCCCAGCTCGGAGAATGAGTCAGGCTGGAGCCGTCCAGGCCCTTCCCTTGTCAGGAGCATCTCTCCCTACCGGGCCACCTGCAGCCTGGGGCTTGGTGGCACACGCGTGACATTTGTCACCCACCAGGGCTGCTGTTGTCCAGCAGTGAGGGCAGGTGGCTCTGGGATGTCTCCTTCACCTTTGGAGCGTCTCGTTGCTTCACTATCCCGCAATGTTGAAGGTGCCGAGGACGCAGCAGGGGACCAGGGTGCTCTGATGCTTGCACGTCACCACCAAGCATCCGCCACCGAAGCACCTGCATGCAATGGGTTTCTCACGGTGCCACCCTGATGGAGAGGCCTGACTTTTCCTACAGAGACATCATGTTAACCAGGAGCTCCTAAAAAAGGGAAAGCAGCTTAAAACCACAAGCCCCAGGCTGTGTTTGGCATTGTGGCCGCGATCCCTTGCAGGTCAGGCCTGAGCAAGTCACAGCCTGCAAAGCTGYGAAGGCTGCAAACAAGTTTTTCTTTTAATGAAAGTCAAGAGCATTCCACAACCCCGCGAAAGCCGAGGACGAGCTCGAGAGAGACGCCCTGCAGCAGGTCACCGAGAAAGCGTAAAGCTTTGCCAGGATGATGCCCAGGGCAGCGGTGGCACCACGCGTGCTGCGCCACGCGCTGCAGGGCACGTCCTGGGCACGGTGGCAGCAAGCAGAGGCAGCGCCACGAGGGTATCCGCGATGCGTGTGCGCTCCGGGGCTGTGCCGGTGGATGTCCGCGTGGGGAAGGCATCAGCGGGCTCTAAGTGTCACCTCCACGGGGAAATGGTCGCTGACGGCCAAGGCCTGAGCGCAGGGGAGAAGCAGAGGGACCTTCACTTGATCGTGCCRGGTGGCACCATCACGGCTCCGAGCGCAGTGGTTTGGGCCAGTCCCCAAAATGCTTGGGGAGCCCACGGTCCGTGTCCGCACCGCGGACGGCAGCTCCCCGCCGGTCCCCCACTCACATCCTTGTACTGCAGGCGGAAAGTCTCCTGGAAGTTGTTGACGGCGGCAGAGCCGGGCTCGACGGCACGGGTCAGCGCCGAGCCGCAGGCGACGATGCTGCGGGGCCCGGGGGGKTCAGCGCCCGCGCCGCCCCCGCACACCCCACGCGCCGCCGCCGCCGCTCACCGGTCATAGGCGCAGGCGGTGAGCGTCACCGTGGTGTCGGCRCTGTCCGGGATGAGCCACCGGCAGCCCTCGAGTGAGCGCAGGCGGATGGCGGGCCAGGCCGACGGCGGCACGTAGGAGCAGCCCGCGTTGAAGTCGCCCAGCAAGAGGATGTCCTGCAGGGCAGCACCAGGGTGGGTTCACTCGTGGGCAAGGGCCACCGAGCCGCCACGATGCTCATCCTCCCCAAACGGACACCCGTCGGCGTCGGCTCCGCCAGCACGATGCCTCCATCGGAGGTCTCGCTCTCCTGGGAGGAGAGCCCGCRGTCCCCACCRCTTACGTTGGTCGCCCATTTGCTGACGATGTCCATGTAGACGTCGTAGAGCGCGTCAATCTCGGCCACCGCGTTGTTGGGGTCCGCGTGCAGGGGCACCAGCACAAACTCCTCCAGCTCAGCTGGAGAGAGGCAGTGAGCCCCAAGCCACCAGTGCCCTATACYGGGCCTGAATAGGGAGCAGGAACCTCCCCGTGGTGCCACCTTGGACTCAACCTTGGCAGACAGTCAGGAAAAGCTCCCAAATCAAAGGGGAAGGGTTCATTTTACATGCCCTGCCTGTCTTTGAGCCTGCCACGGAGACCTGCTTCCCTCTATGTGGGTTTGGTTCTTGTTTTCCATGATTTTTGAATCCCACCTAGATTTGGGAAGAAGACAGAGGGTGAAGGAGAGATAGGCACATGGGAGCATGGCATTAGGAGCTGCCACAGAGTGGCTGGGAGAGGGGGTATATGGTGGGAGATGGCACATAGTGGGAGAAGGCAGGAGAYGAGAGGTGGCACGACTGTGCTGGGCAGGTACCAGCATCCCTGGCACTGTGGGCGGGAGAAGGGTCCAGTAGAATGACCCCAGCAGAACCCTGAGCCGGGCCTGAGGTTGATCCAGGGCTGCTCAACGTGCTCTGTGTGGCCCTGGGGCCGGCAGGCTTCCAGGCACCAGCTCTGCTTACATGTGTGGGGCGAGGAGAACTTCACRATGAAGGGCTCCCTGCTGAAGACATTGGCTCTGATGTTGTTATAGTAGTAGCTTTCCAGCACAGAGACCATAGCTGACCTGGGGGAGAAGAGCAGCACCACTGACACAGCAGCTGGGACACCCAAAGGTGCTCCCTACACTAGATCACCTTTGGAAGTTGTGAGGAGCAACAACAGCCAACACAAGGGGTGTCACCCTGAATGTGCCCTCAGCCCTTACCTGTAGATGAAGAGATACTGCTCCTTGTAGGTGCTCTGACCCAGGGGCTTGC